ACGCCTAAGCTTGAGCAAGGTTCTATTGAGGGTGAGGGGTCTTCAGCAGCTGTTTTGAAGCAGATGATAACTGAAAAAAAAAAGGATACTAAGATTAGTGAAGGACGCTCTGTTGAGGATAAAGATGCTATTGTTGGCTGCGGATTTCTGTAGGCGCAACTATGAAAGTGTTGAAGTTTACTCTTAAACTCAGAGAGGATATCTATCCAACAAATGTGGAAGTTTCGAAGTTGAATGAATTCGTGAGCGAGGACGGGATCTGTAGGCATCTTCTTGAAGAAGCTTGAGAAGAATCTGATGCGTGTATGGAGGAGAGCTCTTTTTAATATGCAAAGTGAATTTTCATGTATGCTCTATTGATTAGCCTTTTCCTTCTCTCTTTTGTTTTCATTCCCTAGACAATCTACTAATGCTCTAGTATGTGTTTGTGTATTGTGTGGATAAATAAAAATAAAAAAAAAATCAATTAGCTAGTACAATAAAAGTTCTGAAATTTTTTCCTACTATGTTTATTTTAGTGCAAAAATTCATTATAGTTCAACTATTTGCTTGTAGGAAGAGATCAAAACGTTTTAGTTAGTACACAGGGACGGACTTGTGAAGGGGTTTGGATAGGCCCCAAGCCCCTCCAAATATATATATATAGTAAAAAAATTATTACCATCAATTAATATATTTTTCAAAATTTTATAAAGCACCTTCAGTAATTGTTTTTATTGTATAAAAATTATGTGCTTACAACGTGGCCCATTTCCATTCTTATTCCTCAAGTCCATTACGTTTTTTACGAGTCCATATCCAGTGTACCCGGGTATACCGTATACCCCCACCAAACACACGCGTTACACGCACTTAACATTTTTCACCTTTACATTAAATGTTGTACTTGCATTTTCTTTTTACTGGATAATCACTATAAAACATTCGGATAATCAGGTGTAACAAGTTGGATAACTAGTACAGAGATCTTGGATAACCGTTACAAACGGTTGGATATTGCTGGACATTGGCTGGATAACCAGTACAAAAGTCCTGGATAATCAATACAGAGCATTGGATAATCAGTTTACATCTTCTGGATAACCAGTTTACAACTTGTGGATAACCAGTACGACATGTTAATTGGGGGGCTTCGCCCCCCATGATAAACTAAACGACTCCCGCGGCTACCGGAATCGCAGGTCACCAACCTGCCCCGGCTGCGCCGCCCCGCCGAACATGCCAATACAGCTAAGGTAATCCTTTTTTCGTGTGTGTGTAAGGAGAGTGTGTTATTGCATTAAGAGAGGACACAAATTACTTGTATAAATCCCCCCGTGATAAACTAAACGACCCGGCTGCGCCGCCTTTCGCGGTTGTGCTGCCCCCATACCGAACATAACAAATTTCACCAATAGTATTTAATTGAATGAGGGGAAGTTTGCCAAATGATGGAGAATAAAAAATGAATCAGGGGCAACTGGATAACCAGTGTAAAAATACGGACAAAGATATCCAAGAAAAATATAAAAGGAAAAAAATAAAATTTGGCAACTGGTTATCCAGCTATGTGTAACTGGTTATCCATAATGTGCAATTGGTTATCCACTATGTCCATACTGGCTATCCAACAGGTTAATAATAGTTCTCCAACTGTGTGTAACTGGTTATCCATAATGCTAACACTGGTTATCCACATGGTGAACACTGGTTATCCACACGCATTTAAAAAGAAAAAAAAAGAAAAAGAAGGATGAATTATCTAGCGAACTCACACTATTCTAAGAGAGTAAATTACATGCGCAGGGGGGTATACGGTGCCCCCGGGTGTACCAGATAATTTGGTGTTTTTTACTTCAAAAGGGAAAACAATTTTTTTTGTTTCCAAAACTCAAAAGACAACGAAAAAATTTTTTAAAAAATAACCCTCGGCCGCCTCCTCAAAGGCTCAAAAATTTTTCAAATTCAAGATCAAGACTCAAGTTCCATTTTCCTAATTGTTGATTCGGGATTCCATTTATGTAAACTTATAATTTCTAATCTTGTATCTTTCATTAATCCATTATCATTGCTTTTTTTTTTTTTTGGAAATTTTAGTTTGGTTTTTCTTCAGAATTAGGATGACCGGATTGGCTTTCAATGGAAGGAATAATATTAATGCATAGTGGCTAGAATTCTTATTGCACCTGTATGTTTTTAATTATTATTATATATTTTTAACAAGTTAAGTTGATTCGTTAATAAAATATATTAGTTGTTAGTATTTTCCGTGCACTTTCATTAATTGTTTTAATGTTAGTGATCTTTTTCTTATTTTCTTTGAGGTTATCTCGCGGAGATTTAAGAAAATGGCACCCCGACGTTTATGTTTACCACCTATCAATTAATGTTGTATTTTTTTAGTGGCTTAGTTAGAAAAAATAAATATAAGTATTAGCCAAGTCATATAAACCTTTTTTAAAAGTTTATTTTTAACTTGTTGAATTTTTTTTTCCCCTTACTACATGGTGGAACACCTACAACTTATATTCTGGATCTGTCCCTGTCAGTACACGGAGAAGCTTTAAAATTTAACTTCTGCAAAAGACCATATTATAATGAGTTTGGACTTCGTAAGGGCAGTATTGAAAAGAACTGTTAATTTTGCAATGATAATATCATTAGCCATTTATAAAAAGTATTAGTAGTTTTTTTTAGGAAGCGAGAATAGTTACAAGACTTAATTGGGTCTGGTTAGAGACTTAACGATATGTACACGCATATTCTTGTCGTATGAGCATGTGATACAATGATGTGTATTATATGCTAGCTGCTTGAATTCTTATGAACGAGATAGTGGTGATTCTCGAATAATAATGATGAAGATAATGATGATACTCTTTTCATTGTGAAATGATTATACAGGTTAAATATATATATATATATAGTTTAAACTGTATTAAAAATAAAAATTTACATTGAGCAATTATTTTGGGACAAAGGAGAGTAATATATTGAATGTCAATATAAGGACAAATCAATATATCAATATTTTTATCCTAGTAAAAGAAAAGTCGAAGAGAAGAAAAATGTTGAAGTGTCACATTGTAGTTAAAAGTTTTTCCTCCAAAACACCTTAAGTCAAAACTATGTCATATTTTTTTAAAAAAAAAACTTTAACCATATATATAAAAGCAAGTTCCTATTATAAATGTATATGAATATTATTTCATTCTATTTTCAGATAGGAAAATTTTAATTATGACTCTAATTCAATATATTATTTTAAGAAAAAAAAACAGATGCCGTATATGGTCAAAGAATTTTTGAAATTTCACGGGTAAAATTACGAAAACAATATGAACGAAATATATTTTTTACATTTAAATGGAGTCACTGTAATGCCAATCTTTTTTAAAAAATTATTAAAAAAAATTAAAATTTCGTGGGTAAAATAACGAGAAAATCTAAGTAAGGCTTTCTTCTCATATTCAAACTCATTCATTGTAATATCCATCTTATTAAAAAATATTGAAATCTAAAAAGTAAAATTACCTAAAAAATTCAAGTAAACATTTTTCTTATATTTAAGCTCAAAAGAAGTTATAATAATTTTAATACTACTTAATTTTTACGCCGTATTTTCTAACTCATTTTTTACTGTTTATTTATTCTTTATATTATCCATTTTTCTTTAGATTGTATTTCATAATCAACCATTAATCGAGTATGTAGTATTTTCACAACTAAAAATAATTTTAATGATACATTTTAATATATTCCGTGGAACGTACGGTACAGAACCTAGTGTAACGTAAGTTAAGAGATTTAAGTAAACACAAGAAGCAAGTATCTTTGAGGCAACAAGACTCCCACCTTGATATGTCATGTACATTTATATATCTTAATGTTTTTTTACACACAATTACAAGTATCTAATTTATTACATGTTGGTGGAGTTTATGGAAAAGGAGATAATACTACTAAGGAGGAGACTTCACGCGCGCACGTCTCGATCTGGTACTCGAAAAGCCTCCTAGCGGGTGCAAGTAAACCTGCACAAGCTCAACACTAAAAGTGTTGTTAGCGGGGTTCAAACCTGGAACTACTGGGCCACCCCTTTGTTGGCGCATATATCTTAATGTTAGAAATGATGGAATAATAAAATTTTCCTGTTTTTTTAAAATAGTGCGTTTATTTTAAAATAAGAGTCCAATTTGTTATTACTATGGATATCTCTTTATTGTTCAGTAGGGAGCAAGTTCAATATTAAGCATCAAACGGATTAAAAAAAATGATAATAACAAACTAACTTTTGAATGTTTGCACGGGGGACTTTATATTTTTCATTCTTTAATATCAAATTTTGCGTTAAAGAAAACCAAAAAAATTCTCTAAATGCTCAAAATTCTTCTAATATGCGATAGGGGAAAAAAAAGAGACACTTTTATGAGCTAAAGATTTCGAAATCCAAAAAAGTTGGACCTCTCCTTTCAACAGGATCATCAGTTTTGTTTTGTGTTTTTTTTTCTTTTCTGATTGTCAAATATCTATTAAATTTTAATCTCAACTAATATTAAATTTTGTTAGATGTTCGAAGTTGGATAATACGCTTGTAAAGTTGCTCTATATAAATAAATCACGGGAACAGACGTCCTCCGATGTGGGACTGCTTACTTGAAAAAACACAAAGGCCAAAGGAAGCCGCCACCGTTTTGTAGGTGTATCTACTTCACAACATTTGGATTCATCAAAATAAAACTTACCTCACACTCCATCTCCCCAACTTCTTTCTAATTAATTTTGTTTTCCCAACAAACTTGACATTTAATTAACAACACTTAGGAGGAGTATATATTGCCCACAAAAAATTATAGTCAACTGATTAGGCTAACCATAACCCCGAAAACTCCATTTACTTCTTAGACTGAATATATCTATCTTCCCCTTATATATCTGATGGACATTCAAGAGAATCTACATAAACGAAAATCGGATCTTGAAACGTTCGTATAATCAATTGTGGATCTTGATTCTTCGCAATGGCTGATCAGAAAGTTGTGGAAAATTCAGAAGCTGGAAATGGCAGCCAAGTTGTGGTCAAACCAGTTTGTACTAAGAAATGGAAGAGTTATTGTGTGGTTTATTTGTTGAGGATTCTAACGTTATTTGCAACTGTATCGGCTACGGTGGTGATGTCCATAGACAAGCAAACCATAAATACGGTTGTTGCTACCATTGGTAACACCCCTATTCGGGCTAGTGTCACCGCCAAGTTCCAGCATACCCCGGCATTCGTGTAAGTTTTAATACTTCTTCGTCCCAAAATGATTGTCATGTTTGTTATACTTGTTTACAGTAAATAAGACAATTATGTTAGAATAGATGTCTTTTTTTTTCTTTTTTCTTTTTTTTTTTCCTTTTCAAGTTGATAACACTACAGGAAGATGCATTTCTCTAACAAATTTGCAACTCATTAAATCTTTTTTCTCGTGAAACAATACTAGTGAACTTCTTTTACTTTTAAATGTGACACAAAAAACTCACGCTAATTTAACACAAAATCAAAATCAAAATCAAAACTAAACCAAGCAGTATTATATCAATATTGAGAAATCAGGATCTGAATGGGAAACATTGCTCTTTCTACACCAAAATGATTATCTGTTTGTCGAGATAAAATTTATAATTCCGTACATAAAATAATCATTTTGGGACAGATGGAGTATTTATATAACCTTGTAGCTATCGCTGTGTGTTTGGAGTTACTAAGTTCATCTCTTATACAAAATGCAGATTCTTTGTGATAGCTAATGCTATGGCAAGTTTTCACAACCTGCTGATGCTAATTGTGGAGTTTACTGGACACAAGTTTGATTTCAAGGGACTAAGACATTTACTAGTACCGATCCTCGACATGGTAATGCTGTCTTTGTCGTATGTTTCTTTCTCAAAACACGTTGGAAAGTCTCCAATATTATACTAATTGATAGCATTGTTAAAGAGGGATGTTTCATTGTTTATCGATAATATTTCCTCTTGTTCCGCATAATAATGATTCATTTAGTTGAACTAAAATAATAGATGAACCAAGTCACTTTGTCCCAACAATAAAGAAGTCAGAGCAAATTCGTTACTTCTGTAACAAAGTTGAGGATTTTATAAATTCATGTTTAGACTTACACCATTCTAACCCTTTTGTAATTTGGGATTGTATAGCTGAACGTGGCTCTAATCTCAGCTGGGGCCGGGGCGGCCGTGTTCATGGGAGAGCTGGGCCGAAATGGGAATTCTCATGCCAGATGGAACAAGATTTGCGACAAATTCGACACTTATTGCAACCATGCAAGTGGGGCCATTATTGCTAGTTTAGCAGGGCTTATTCTTATGATCATCATCAACGTTGTTTCCATTGCAAAGCTTCGGAATGTTCAGAAATCAGCCGATTCCTCCATGCTTCCTTGATGAGCAGTTCTGTTTCGAATCCCCCCAGGAATCTTCTCCTTTGGACAGAAAGCTAGCTGGGATAGGAAAGTGTAGTTACTTTTGTGAATTTGATGTGTGCATAATAAATTTCTGTAGTATATGAAGATGAAGTTTGTATGATTGAGGATGCAATGTACATGATTTTGCCTTTTGCTTGTTCCTTACCATGTATGTTTGGCTTATGACTTTGAAAAGAGGATGGAGTAAAACTAATAAACATCCGAAGAGCTGAAGGATTGAAACTAAAATGGCGTGGGCTAGATCGTGTAGCTCTTCATGGCTTTTAAAGCAATTAGACATGAGCTACATTGTCATGTCTGAGCTGAAGGATTGAAGTGTAGCTTGCTGCGGCTTTCATAGCCGCATGACTGAGCTACATTGCAATGCAATTGGTTTCTGTACACCAAAATGATCACTTAAAGACAGTTTTGTGACTGTTTCAGTGATCATAATACGAAGACACTTGACTATATGTCACGCCCAGTGGATTACTTGCATTTTCAGAGGCACCCAAGAAGAAGATATCACATTATTCATCTCGAAACTATCTACAGGCAAAACATGTACAAAACAACAATATCAAAAAATTGCATCCCCTGACAAACCTAGTGGAAGGAGTGATTCTTGTTCGTAGTGTTGTATGAGGTTTTAACAATGACTGATAAAGGTATGTTGACAACATGACCATGATCTCCAAAAAGTCCAATCCTTCCGAAACTTGCAGCCGTGCTATTTGTTAGGGCTACAAAAGATACATTCAAGACCTGTCTCTGCCCACTTGCAACCCAGAAGCGCTTTGGGGTCACTTTTACAGATACACCATAAGGAGCACTCCAACCAACTCTATAAGTTTCATTGCCACCTATGTTAGTAGCGATTCTTTGAACCATTTGAGATTGGTTCAGATTCGATATCGTGATTGAGGGCAAATTCAAGTCTGCACCGCCGATAGTGGAAGTGCTACAGTTCTGACCGGTGTAATTCAGAAATACTGGAGCTGATCCATTTATGCCGCAAAGGAAAGATGTATAATCATCGTAACCTACATAAAAGCCAAGCAACATTTGTCATTTTCAGAGCATAAAGTGTCCTGTCGCAAAGCTATCATCATAAAGACAATTTATAGATTGCCTGAATAGGATAACACAAACACCCCTATAACTTGCAGCGGACATTTAGTAACTTCATTTGTCACATAAAATAGCCACATGTTTTTCTGCAACCCAATTATTTTTCCAAGTCCTCTTCACAGGCTTCACTAAGAGACTAATGTAATTCACATGAACACAAAATTCAAAAAAACTTTCAACTTGAAACTCATGCGACTTACTCAGATCAAAAATGAGACCTGGATCTAATGCCGCCGTCGCATTTATAAAACCACTTCCCATGTCAAAAGGTGTCGCGGGGGATAGGTTCAGGTCTGGTTTTGCATATGCTCGCTGTGCCATGATAGGGGATCCATCTTTATCAAGTAAAGATGCTGTTGTTGAAAGTGCAGAGCCAAGGGCTGAAGGGCTGATTGTTGGAAACTTTTGCTTAATCAGTGCTGCAATCCCAGCAACATGAGGAGCAGCCATACTTGTACCGGACATCATAGCAAAGTTTTCACCTGAAAGTTACTACTAACAATTTAATCTCCCTTCTCTTCTTTTGGCTCAAATTAAACACAACTTTAGGTAGACTCAGTTTTAGCACATTAAGCAAAGTGTTAACGAAAAGAATTTTCTCATGGGAAAAATGGATGATCAATTCATAGAAAAATGTACCTTGAAATTCGATTGAGTCAGTTCCGCGCGAACTCCAAGCAGCCCAAATAGAATTTCCAGGAGCAACTAAGTTTGGTTTCAAAATGTCTGCATTGTCTGGAAAGCTGTTCTCTGGATCCGGCCCTCTAGCAGAGTAAAACATAACTTTAGGAGCCAGATAACTGAAATTTGCTTCAAGTCCACCTGAAATGCATGCAACTCCTCCAAACTTGACCACTTTTTTCGTAACACTATCTCTCTCCAAAGATGAATTATAGTACTGAAGAAAGATCTGCAAAATAACCTACAGTCAGAAAGGACTGCCAGAAAGATATGCATCATTTGTCTATAGGAAACAGAAGAATCATCCTCCTTTGTAGACGTAAGTTTTTCTTCTACTATCCTACAAATGACAAAAATGGCATTCTTTATATTTCTAAGACTCAAATCTTTAACTAATGGGGTCTTTCAAGACCATAACCTCACCTTGGAATCATCTGGAGATGGTATTATAATCCCAGGCAAACTCATTGGAGTAGGATTAAGCTGAAAACCAATTACGAAAGGATCCATGTAGAAAACAACTCCTGCTGCACTGAGATTAGCAGCTGTTTCTAAAGTCCGTTTGATTGTGGAGAGACCAAGCACAAAACGTATTGAGTAGCTGCAAATCAGGAGATTCCCCTGAACAATCTCCGGATTAAAATTAGCAGGATCTTGACATTCACCAATATACATATCATTGCCCGTTCTTGAATCATTGAGAGCATCCAGAGCAGAAACCAGAGTAAACATTGTACCATTCGTTCCAGCTGAACAAAGAAAACGAAAGGTTCATACAAGGAAAAGGATGTGCCAAAGATAGTTTATACCTCTAACGAAATTACACAAAAATAAACAGTACAACAATCTCCACTATCCCGTTTGGCCTTTTTCTTTATGTGTGCTATCTTGTCCTGTAAATACTAAAGAAATTATACAAAAATAAACAGTACAACAATCTCCACTATCCCGTTTGGCCTTTTTCTTTATGTGTGCTATCTTGCCCTATTTTTTTACAAGGCACACTGATCCAGTTAGAATATTACAGTACCCAGGTACAAAAGATAATCTACAACAATCAAAGTTAAAGATCGGATTATCTCACATTTTTGTTGGGGATTAAAGGAGAGCCAAAAACTTAGGTAACTTGGTAAATGAATATGGAGTTAATCAAATTGTTGTGGCCGGGCTATGTTCAACCCAGAAGGGAAAAAAAAAAAAAAAAGAAGAAGAAAGAAACTAGGAGATTGCATATTTTCTCTTCTTCCGATCTTCTCCGTCATATCTTCTTGCTTTAGGCTTATTTATAGTCGCTTATCAGATTGTAAAAGCTTGTATTATACTTTTATCATTGAGGTCCATATATTATTTCCTTACTAGCTGCTAAATAATGTTTTCGGCTGAATTGGCTTTAAGACCCTTAACTATGTCATAAAAAGAAACATAGAAGAGAAGCGCTTAAAACATTTTCTCTTTTACTCAAGCAGGGTCGAGAAAACGACTTGATAAAACTCAAAGAGTATGAATGTTAAATCAAGAGATGATAGTTTACTTCAGAACCGATGAACTACTGAAACCAAAAGCAATTATCTCTCCAAGTCATATAACCTTCTAAACCTTTTCTTAGAAGCAAATGATTCAAAAAGTAAACAAGGAAATTCATTTGAAGCACTTGATGCACATTTTGACTAGCATGGATAAAGTGATACTGCACTTAACGGCCAACTTACATGCAAGCCCAACTCCAGATATGGTGATGTTGTTGCCAAGAACCACTGAATTTCCGTATACCCTATCATGAGCAGCAGCACCGACAGTAAAAATCCATGGACTAAAAGAAAAAACACTCTTAGGTGATGGCCCTGTATTTCCTGCCGCTTGAATAACAAAGATTCCAGCTTTCACGGCAGATAGCAAGGCCATATCAATTGGATTGAAAAATGTAGCACAGCCTGGGGGACGTCTGTTTGGCGTGATGGACAAGCTAATTATATCCACTCCGTCCTGCGCTGCCTGAATAGTACATAATGGTTGCAAGAAATTAGTTTGCCGACAATTTCAGCAATCATGAAATATTGCAGCTGAATACTAGAAACGATCGTGGTAGATTAGCAAATGAACTATGCAGCTCCGCAATTTATAAGCAAATTTTTGTAAAGTTCACTTGGTATGGGAAGTCCTAACAGGAAGCGTTCACTTGATATGGGAAGTCCTAACAGGAAGTAATCAATGTCTTCTTGTTTTTTTATGTTAGTAATCAAATGAAAAACAAGCTTGATAGGTAACCATATATATAAGAAATTGGGTAAATTTAAGTAAATCCCAAACAAAAGCTAGAAAACAGAAATATCTGTATGAATTAGCATATTAAACGTTACCTGGTCAATGGCAGCCACGACATCAGCTGCAAAACCTCCAAAACTCTTGTACAATGCTTTGTAAATAGCAATGCTAGGTTGATAGACAGCAATGAACAAATGACCAAAACATTAAGTAGAAGTTCAGGATAAAATGAATATGCAGGAAACAGAAATTTCAAAGCATGCACATAATTGAAGATGCATATGAAATGGAGCTAAGGCAAGTGGGTTTTCTTTTCAGCCTAAAGTTGCATGTAAGATTCTTAACTGAGCAGTAAGAGAACGAAACACTTGCTCCTGCCGCTACCAACAACTTCAGCTCAAAAAGTACCTTAGATATAGATGATTCTACTGACAGATCTTTATACTGGATGTGATTCCCTCATCGTAAGTTGAAGAATCACAAAAAATGATAATATGTATATTACACTCAGCCTTGTAGATTACGAATGAGTTGGTATAAAAATTTTGGCTCTCAAGGATGAAAACCAGAAGTTTTTTGCCAACACTATGCCATGGAATGTTACCATTATAGGTTTCAGAGAGAACCTGAAATGACCAACCTCAAGACAACCGCAAATGGAACTAAGACCCAACATGAGGTCGCTCCGTCCTGAAAATTTTGCTAGAATGCGGGAGACTGAGTAAGTGCTATTCGAGGCCCCCACGTGATAGGACTAATTTCTTTATTAAAAATAAAACGAACTCACAGATGAGGCGGCATGCAAGGAAGCCACCTCTTGGTCCTAGAGGCAGGGCAGAGAAGGCATTTCTAGAGTCTAGAGTACGACTTTCGACAGGAGACAGGTAAAAGTCTGCCACCTCTAGAGTATAAACACCAAAGTGAGAAACTGTGAGAGAAGCAAATGCTTTAAAGAGAAAAGAATGCACCATTGGAGTCCTAATGCTAAACGTTTTAAGACATTTCTACAATTCCTGTTCAAGGGGAGACTGGGCACACATAACTCACTCTCCTGAGGAGGCTTGCCTAAGAGTACACCACTTTGAGTTGCTAAGGAAGCACTAATACTAAGTCTCAGGCCCCATTTGCTACTAGTACTATTGGCAAAACTTTTGAGTAGGCCAAAGTCATGGACACAAGCTGATGGCCTGTGGTGTAACACTTTACCGCATTCAATTGTTGGACCAAACAATGATTCCCATCTCTCTGTCCATCTACTGGTCTTCCTATTGATTTCTTTCTCTCCTGACCATGTCAATGTAGAAGAAGAAATTATCCATAGCTAACTGATTCTTTAATGCAACTAAATACTTTCATAAGTTCTGTTAAAAATACTTAAGCAAAAAGTGACAGTAGCTTGGTGAAGATAATGCCATCCAAAAATGAGCACAAATCTGTCTTCAACTCTGTCCATCTACATCATTCGTTCTACCGTTCTCTTTCTCTTTTTTCATCTTTTAAAGAACTATGCATCGCTAAATGGTTACTGGACCTATGAAAATTTGTAATTTTATGACTTGTTTAATAGTTGCTGGCAACCTTTGCGTCTATAGCAAACAAGTGACAATGGCGTCGTCAGATTATACCATCTAAAAATTAGAGCCAGACAACTACTTTGTTTGTCAGAACAACATCATCGAGAAAATCTATTAGCGAAGAGCAAGAAAATTTCCTTTCTGATTTCCACTAACCAATCAATATGCTCCACTGAAAAACAGAGATAAGATTTGAAAAGCAGGGACTTAATTCTGATCTGGTAAATGCTTAGTAAAAAAAAATATATAATAACCATGATTAGAAACTTGAAAAAACATAGTCATAACACCTTCAGATGAGAAGTTACCCCAACATAATCACAATGGTTTGCATAGATAGTAACATGAAAAAGAAAACTCAGGAAAACTAGCAATATGTTCTTACTGTGAACGTGGGGCCATCCCACTAGCATTTCCAAAGTTATGACCAGCTACTACCACCGGGATCCCATTGTTACCTGCTGCAACAGAAGCTGTGTGTCTGCAACAATATGAGATGTGACTCGGTAAGTACACAATAAAGCAACCAGAGAAAAGGGATACAAATACTAGAACTAGCTACAATATTATGTACACCGAGCACAGCATAATCAAATGAAACATGTTCCACGGCAATCGAGTTCGAGAAGTAGTTTTCTTCTTTTCCAACTTCAGTACCATTTAAGATAGAGGGTTTCCATTGGTTATGCCCTTTATACCATTTTATACCATAGTTTTCTCTATTGATTCTGCTAAATAAATTCACAGATAAATAGCAATCTAAGAGAATCAAGTCACCTAATTTCACTTTTAAGGACCATACGGCAGTAAGTAAAGAATTTCACAACTGAAAAAGGGCACTAGACTCCCTCATTCAGGCCTAGGATTTAGCAGCTCTCAGGCTTGCTGAAATAAAAGGCACGCTTATGGGAAAGAACCCTCAAATGCAATAGCTAAAAGTTCAGTTTTCCAGATTTTGAATATTCTACAAGAAAATACTCACGTTCCATGTCCATCGCCGTCAAAAGGTGAAGCATAATCCTGGGAGGCATTAAATATGCCGCGAGTAATTGCAGAAGCTGCAAAATGACGAGCTCCAACAAGTTTTCTGTTGCAGGAACCTGAGGGAAAATCTGGTGTCACTTCACAAATGCCAGAATAGTGCTGTGGAACTGGGAACGGATTCTCAGCTGTATTATCAGAAAAACTCGGATGTGTTGGATCAATTCCAGTGTCAATAAATCCAATGACAATCCCTTCACCAGCAGTTCCAGATCCACCTTGTTGAACCCATGCCCCTTGAGGTAGTCCTAGAAACTGTGGTGTATGAGTTGTTGCAGTTCTAACTGAGAAATCTAGAATCACATTTGACACTTCTCCTCTTCTTGAAAGCTTGTCAGCCTAAAATTCCAAACAAAATAAATGCATTACAACTGGGAACAATCACATAACAAGAATTCATCTTCATAATGCTTTAGCTCGATACCAAAAAAACACAAGTATTCTATCAAAGAAGACAGTTACACACAATATCTGGTAAAAAGTAGCCAAATCATGCATAACATGTGAATCTGATTGGAGATAAAAGTAAACAAAGTTCAAAAGGAATCCAAATTCACCTGCTGTGGAGTAATGAGCACTGCAAATCCATTGATCAAGTAGTGGTAACTATACAGTTTGATGTATTTTTCCCCTTTTAGTGCCTTCCTCAGCAGAGCATCATGGTAGCGGGAAAAATAAGAACCATGGCTCCTTGGATTTCTCGAACCACCCCTGATGTGGATAAAAGGTTTAAGAAAATCAAGCAAATAATTCTCATTATTACAACTAGTCCTGAGCAAACACGGAACAGTAAAAGAATTAAAACGGCCACCGGGTACAGGGGAAAAGCATGATTTCAATAACAAAAAATACAGCACTTTTTATGGCAAACAATTCCTATTGTTCTCCAGAGTAAATTACTTTAAGAAAGTAAAACAGTAACCCCTAATCATGAAACAACAAAGAAAGGAAACAAAAGAAACCACAAATATCAAAGCTAATCATTATCAACCAAAGTGGGAGAAGGCGTGCCAACAATTCAATGGATAGAAACGAATCAAACCGACAAAGGGACGCCATGAATTGGCTAATGCCTAATATACAGTATCAAATTCCAAAAGCTATTGTATGAAATCAAAGCAAGTGGCCAGAGGAATACCAGCAGAAAACTAGTAAAATGCGCATGAATGAGCCTCCAAGACTAAATGCCATAGGGAAGGTAAACATAAAAAAGGCAAAACAAGAAGTTGAAAGTACAGAAAACAAAATGAAACCAATAAGGTAAAAGAATAAATAAAATTACTTTGTTCTATTCAGCGTATTCATACTGCTTGAACCAGCAGGACCATGGAAAACCTGGTCTTTCTTCACAATGAATGCATCACTTGAATGGGCCGTTGGGGGATGTCTGATAGTAACAATGTAAACAGCAGCCTCATCATCTGAACTCGAATTCCCATCCACTAATATTCCCAAGCACAAAATTGCTGCCGCCAGTAACACTTCAACTCTAATCCCATTAGAACCCTCCATCATAATACCTTCAGTTATTATTAAAACCAGAGAAGTTCCAAGAAAACAGAGAAGCTATGGAGTTACAAAAACACAGCAAGCCTCCATTAACAAGCTTGATTTTTTTTTCCCTGCTGAGTATTCCTAGAGAAGCAACAAAATGCAGCAACAGCAAGCAGCAAAAGTGACCCTTTTTTCCCTCCACCCACCACCAAAGAAAAAAAGAAACAAATAAGCAAATTGGGAAGACCCTTTAAGAATCCATAGCTGGGAAAAAAGCAAAATGTGGGAACTTGGAAGGATTGAGAGGAGGCTTTTCCGGATTTGCCAAATTGTTTAGTGAAGTAGTAGTGAGTTGAGTGAGGAAAGGAAAAGAAAAGACAGAGTAAGAATGAGCAACTTTCTTGGGTGCTGTGCATATGAACGTTTTGTTTATTCGTAAAAGCATTAATGAAAACAATAAATAAATGCTTAAAATAAACGAAGAAAATGATAGTAGTGAAAGTTAATAAATAAAAGAGAAATTCTTTTTGTAATATTAAGATGGGATTTGGAGGGTTGAACGTTGTCTTTTGTTTGTAGTCATTTCTGACTTTCCCGTGTGTTTTTGTGAGCGTTTGTGGTGTCGTTTTGTTGTTGAAGACTTGGAGGCCGTGATCTCTTTCGTTGGGTCATTAGGTCAGTGTGTAGGGCGGTCGAGCCGTGTGACCTACACCCGGGGGCACAACCGGCAGGGTGGATGTGACCTTAAATTTGTTCTCTTTGCAAGCAGTAATGTGTTACGAGAATAAGCAATCCTTATAATATCATGTCGTATAATATCAATAATAAGAATTGAATAAAAGAAAATGACGTATTTCTCACTCAATATACCTTTTATTTCTCATACAGTACAAACATGAACATTGTTCCTCTATGACTATTGTTATCACACTTTCATAAATCATCCATGACATAAATTTTCTCAATCTCAAATCTCATATCAAGCTCTTGAAAGAAACTTTGGAAACCTCGTATTTTGATTTCTTTCGGTGGTAGGATTCTATTTATTAATAATAATAAGTTGCAATATATATAACGCACTTACAAGATATAGTGACGTTAATAAACCTTTATTATAGTGCACCTTATAATTTTTTCATAGACTAATTTAAATCGAAGAAGTATTTAACGGTATAATAAGACCAAAATAGATATTGAATCACATAATCTTAAAACTCAAGCCCTACTACACAAAACTTTTACGGTTCCGCATCATGGTTTTTATCATTTTTATTTTTTCAAACATTATTCAAAAATGAAATGCAAACAAAATTTTCTTCAGAAAAGAAAAAATAATCTTCAAAAAAAAAATGCAAACAAAATTCACATTCTAGAGATGTTGGGCTGCTGTCGATGAGACATAATGATTTAATGTGGGTCACATGTTGAGACTTTAGGGAGATTGCGATTTTGGACTTTTGTTGGGTGGGAAATGAAATGGGCCATTCTTTCCAACGGTCCGTTATTTGCTCGTAGGAAATAAGTACAAACTGTATATTTCTCCTTGGCACCAGAGTATTTTTTCTTTTTTTCAGAAAAAAAAAAAAGGAAAAATAATCTTCTTCTTGCAATGAAAAAGGAAAGAAGCATCCCCACAAATTTTTATTTGATAAATTCCTTTTGGTTGAAATGTTTTTATCAACAAGACTCTTGAGAAAGAAGAAATGTGAACAAAAATTAAGAAGAAGACAATGTAAACGAAAATCTATTATCTTATACTCCCTTTGTCCCAAAATTATTGTCCACTTTGAGTTTTTATTTTTAGTTTAATTTTTACTAAAAATGAAAACACAAACTGGACAATAATTATGGGACGGAGGGAGTATATAAAATGGCTTCTTTTTTTTTTTTGATGAAGTTGAGATTATACGTTCAGGGTTCTCATGCGTGGAACACCATGTGAAGAATATGTTTCCCTATGTAGTCGATTACTCTTGTATTATTATTATTATTTCATATGTTTCAAAATAAATGTTTAGTTTGAATTTTCACATTAAGTATAATTTAAATTAAAAAATAAAAATCCAGATTAGACAATCATTTCAAGACTTTATATCTTATTGCTTATTAATCTTCGAGCTTATGAAGTGCCTATGCATTGTGCAAGGACATGCATTTTGTTGAGAAGTTTACCTCATGAAAAAAAATAAAAACAAAATTAAGAGTTCAACGTATAGAGTACAATAAGTACAAACCGAATCACGTATCAAACTTAGAAAGTTTTAGGTAACAAGTAGTAACTTATTTATGCATTGCTATAAACTACCCTTAGAGGAGCAATGACACTAGCCGTGGATCAGAAAACATGGTCACTTTTGCTATTAGTTCTCGCTCATCTAATGATAAAAAAAAAAAAAAAAGAAAGAGAGAGATTAATAAATTTTTGAAGGGTAAAATGATATGTAGTGAAGAAGATATGATGGGAAAATAGTAATTGATGTGTGATATTATAGCCCTTATTTTATTGTTACTTTGCTGTTAAAATTTTACTTTTCTCTCCAAAGTTATAAATTTACTTTTGATTATTGTATATGCATAAGTCTATATATTTTTTCATTATTATTCTTGTTGTCTCTATTCTTACTGTTATGAAGGTCGAAGTCGGATTAGTTTCAATTAATCACATACTAGTGACAGAGATATAATGAAACTATCAAGCAAGGCAAATTAGTTATTTCGTACTCGAAATTTTGAATGCACGTAAATTGCAACTGCTCTAATTTTATTGGACAACAATTTTAAGGGTATCATTTTCGCATGTCTGCTTAGCGGTTAAAGTAAAACTTCAATGGCAACTTATAAGCGATTTTTTTTTACTCCCTCCGATCCTTGTTATAAGGCATTTTGGTTTCGTCATAAATTTAACTAAGATGCCTTTAATTAGAAAAAAAATCTTAAAAATAAATTTTATATTCATTGTGTTCTGTTAATTATTATGAAATATTTTTATATTTTAATTAAAAACATCCCAGGTGAAACTAATAATGAAATCAAAATGCCTTATAATAAGGTTCAGAGAGAGTATTTTTTTTGTAACTTCCTACCTAGTAACAAAATTTATGGTTCTACTCCTATCTAAAATTATCTACATTTTTAGTTTTTCTTTTCTTTCCTTTTTTTTTTTTTTGTAAACAAAGAGTTAACACTACTTCAGTTTTACTATTTTATTTTATTTGTACCCAAACAAAGATCCTGTAATTCGATTCCCTTTTTGGGGGTAAAGATTGAGGTCCAATAGAACGACTCCACAGCATCTTGCAAAACATTCATATCTAACTTTATCTGTGGACCGGTGATGGAAGGAAAAACCTCACAATCATTAGATCACCTTTTGCTCCATTTTGGTAAAGGTCAAAGAAATAATTAAAAAGGGAAAACCCCGATCCTAACATTATTGTAACAACTTTTTTCCCAGAAGAGATTCTTTTTAGGAAAAAAAATCTCCCAATCTCAATTCAGCTATAGCATGCAACATGATGTCCAAAAGCTGATTCTAAGTGTAGTTGATAAAATACCTATCCCATTCGTTTCTAAATTATTGTCCAGTTTCAAATTTTATTTTCAATTCAAATTATATCATAATAAAAATCTAAACTATATAATTTTTTTGAGACATAAAGAGTATAAGTTAAAGAAGAGCTACTCCGTCCCATAATTATTGTCCAATTTTACTAAAATAAAAAATTTTATTTTTAATCAAACTTAACTATATTTTACCTTGAACAACCGAATATACCCCTACATAAGTAATTATTTAACCACAAAGATTTTATGGATAATATTTTTTACTAAGGACAAATGTGTAACTTGATCCATAAAAAGTCAAATTGGACAATAATTTTAGGACAAAATTTTTTGGACAAAGTGAACAATAATGATGGGACGGAGGGAGTATATTTTTTGACATACATCATGTAATAGTATAACATAGTACTTCCTCCATCCAAAAAAAAAAAAAAACAAAAAATTAGTTCACAAAACAGTACAAAATTCAAAACTCAATGTGGCCTTTTTTCTTAAGACGAAGGGAATATAAAATAAAGTGAGCAGTAGACTTGTTCAGCATACACAATATTCCCCTATTATTACATTAAACAAATTAAACTCTTAATTTGGGACGAATTTAGAAGGAGATGATCCTAGTGAATCATTTTGACCTCAAGCCCATATCTGATCTTGCCATAATGGACCGTTCTCCTCCACTGGTCTAAAGAAGATCTGTCTTGCTGTAATCCCCCAATCGCATTTGGGGACCGGGGATTTGATCTATCTTATAGCTTATAAACTGATCACAATAATTCAATCCTAGATATGGATGTACCTTGATCGAAATGGCAAACTGCTAATTTTTTCCATTTGAGGTTTGAACCAAAAGGATCCGTCAAAATTGCAATGAAACACCTATATTATCGAACTTAATCAAGCTTCATGATCATTAATCTTAACAATTCTTCAACATACATTTTTTTTTTACATGTGCTCGCGTTCCTACATTTTGCATATGTTTTACAATCATTTCTCTAACGTGTTCTTAAAGTTCCTAGGAAAGTTTACCTTTCGAAAGCCGGATTTATCGGCTTTTCTTCTTCTTTTCTTTCAAGCTACCATTCTTTCCTTCTTATCAATTTTTTCCCCTTGCATATCTCTTCCTTTTTCTTATTTTCATTTTTTTTTTCCTTTTAGCCAAACTAGTGCCTAGTACTAATAGGAAAATTTAATTACTTTTATATAGTACATACACTATGGATTAATTGTTCTATGTCTTCCTCTCCTCAAAGACTATTTAATCTGATGCTTCGCTTGCAATAAACGGGAGATGCCAACGTCTTCCCTTTTTCTGATCTATCCTTCCTAACTTGTTCTCATCTCTTTTATCTTTTTCACATCAAATTCAACTTTTAAAAATTCTCACTTGTAATTACGCAATTGTATCTTTAAACTGGAAGTAATATTGTAATGTCATAGTCCTAGACTTTGACGTC